TAATAAACTCAGCATGAAGCAGTAGAGCTGGGTGAGTGGTCAGTTTCTGTCAGACTCACCTAAAGGCGCGGAGCCAGAGAGGGTCTGCGGGGCTTGCGGTGAGGCTGCTGCGGTGTCAGCGCTGGCTGGCGGCGGGGCTCGCTCCTCTTCTCGCCCGGGTCACGGAGCCGTCACCGAGCGGCATTATTCCCCCACTTCATCCGAGCCGAAGGAGACTGGTTCCTCCCTCGTATGAAGCAAGACGCTGTCCTCCTGCCCGCGCGCCACACACCGTCTCGAGAGCGAAACAACCCCGCTTCACGTCAACATCTGCACCCACAAAGATATAAACGGAAGGAAAAAAACACAAAGAAAGGAAAAGGGGAGAGATTTGGAGAAACAAGAAGCGGGGAGGTTCTGTCACAGCCTCCCTCCTCGTGAAGGGGCTGACATGGTCGCGCTCGGACCCCGGAGMTCCGTCTCTTCGGTGACAGGCGCGGGACTCCCCGGTATGCGGGAGGCGAGGATCGACCGAGCGCTCGTGCGTCTCTGCCTCTGCAATTCCAGCTCTCAGACTCTCGTGCGCCCCAGTCTCTCCGCTGTGCCTCTCCAACGTGCCTGACTGTCAGAGCCGTCCGGGCACCCGTAGCTGGCTTCAGCTCAGCCCTCTGCGACTGTGGGAGTTGTAGTTTTATCAGGAGAGCATCAGAATGTTGTTGACAAACTATCAGGAGTCACAAAGGATATGTAGTTTTCCTGTTTATTATTTACTCTGTAGTGTTTTACTCCTTAAGCACAAGTTTAGATAGTTTTATTGCACATTTAATATGCTACATTTAAAAATATATAATTAACTTTATTTACATGCTTTCAAGAAATGCATAAAATATTTTGTGATCTTTGAAATCTTCAGCATACTTGCCTTATTGTTAGCGTTTAGCTACTATGTAGCTAGTTTTAGCATTTGATTAAAACAATCTAACCATAGTTTGTAGCCACTGCTCTGCTGGTTTTACTTCTTTGTTCATTTTAGCAGCTAAAATTATTAAACCAGCAAATAAACAAGCTGTTATGATGGATTTTTTTAAATTTCCTTTTTAAAATCCATCATAACAGCTAGTTTATTATTATTATTTTGGCACTGCTTTCCTTTTTGCCTTTTTTTTTCAGATTTTCTATGGCTTTTTGATTTTTCTCTGTTTTACTTATTGTAGTGTTATCTAACTTTATTGTTTGGTGCTGTTTTGTTTGACTTTTAGTTATACTGCTTCACTAATTTGGCTTTTTTTTACTATTTTGCTACTTTTAGTATTTAKCTACAATTTTGCTATTTTTAATTTATACTTTAGTATTTAGTTAACGTTATGCTGGTTTWAACATTTAGCTTGTGTTTTGCTCATTTTACCCTTTTTTTCATCGTTCTAACTTAAATATTTTTTATCTTATTCAACAAGCAAACTGATCAGCTCTAATAAAATAATCCAACTGTTCAGAATTGATTCTACTTTTCTTCTAATACGCCTAAACTAAATTTTCTTTAGATTTTTTAAAAGTAAATTTGATCGTTCATTCTTCAAACTTTCTGAACGTATTTTCTGTTTTGATTTTTTGGCTGATTTTTTTCTGATCAAGAGGAAAACAAAAGTACCGTCAGGCCCAACATTAGATTAATATCTGGCCTAAAGAAATGAGAGAAAAAAATCACAAAGGACTGAATACATAGGCTGAGAGATGAACCAAGAGTTAATYAACTCTTTAACTCTTAAAAGATTCACCTCGTTGTTGCTAAAATGCAACTTTATGTTTATTAATATTTTTAAGAACACGCAAATGTCAAAAAATTTAAATGTCGTAAATAAGTWATCAGTTATAAAAAAATGACTCTTAAATCACATTTAGCTGTTGATTTATAGAAGGTACAAATAATCTTTATTTGTTTTATTCTAACAAAACTCTACAAGTATGTGGCGGTAAAAATGTCCAGACACGCACAAATAATAGAGATTCTGTCACCTGATCTTTATTACAAAACATGACAGATTACAGATCACAATATAAAGATTACATTCTTTGGAGAAAAAAAAAATGCTAACCATCCAAAGCCAACTGAGTTTTCCATGTTTTGTCTGACATTTAACCCCCCAGCAGGCTGACAGCTGTATACATGTTTACTAGATATAGATATTTGATGCACATCTTTGAGTTAAATTAGCACAACGTAAGAGACAAATCATACAAATCTGTCTAAAAAATAACAAAGATAAAGCACTTTTTAAACTTTTTAAACAGTATTAAGGCACATGTTGAAATAAAAACAMGAGACATAAATGATGGATCCATTTTCATCTGAAATGAAAGGAAATTGACAGAATCTGTGTTTTCTTATTGCAGAGAAATGAATCTTTTAAAACAGGAACTAAATGATCCAGTCAGTTTCAGCGACAGTTGTCGAAGACCCCGACAAACTTGTTGCAGGTGCGATTTGTTTGCGGCACATTTTCCCACAGGCTGAACAGTCGATCTAATAAAATTCTCCTTGCAGGAAGAGAAATCAAAGGACCTGAACAAACATGGCAGCTGAACAGATCATGTACCCGCTGGACTTCCCCCACCCCAACCAMAACCGCCTGCATTTTTCTTGTTGTCATGGTTACAGAGTAAAGCAACATTTCTGCGAGGCCTGACCAGGAAAGCACTGATTCTCCTCATGATCTGTTCAAAGCAGGAAGCAGCGATCGGGCGACCAAAAGAAAAGAAATGGTCCTTAAGCTCTTACAGTAAGTCGGTGATATGTATCTTCATATARGTTTTCATCCAGTGTGGGATTAGAATACACCACAGGCGGGTAAAGGTGCGTGCGCATCAAGACGCCCGTCAGCGGGTTTGCGTGCACGTCCATTTGGAGCTGCGCACCCGAGCGCGGTCACAGGTTCTCTCCCGGCTGGTACTGCGGCTCGGTGGCCGTGAAGTAGTCCTCCAGGAAGGACTGCAGGTACTCGAAGGTGTGCCTCTCGTCGGGCTCCCGCCTCCAGCACTGCAGCATGAGTTCATGGAGCGAGGCCGGGCAGCCGTGGGCGCAGGGCATCCGGTAGCCCCTCTCCACCTGCTCCAGCACCTCACGGTTGTTCATGCCTGAGGGGGGCGGGGCCAAGGAGGGAAGGAGACCACCCAGGGATTACACACACATCCAACAAAACAGAAATAACAATAAAATCCTAACTTACAACATCACATGTGAAAGGTTTGATAAAACGAGTTGGAAAAAAAACTAATTTTCTAATTCAGGTGCAGAGTTGTAAAGTAACTAAGTACAAATACTTTGTTACTGTACTTAAGTAGAATTTTTGGGTATCTGTACTTTACTTCAGTAATTATTTTTCAGCCTACTTTTTACTTCTACTTCTTACATTTTCACACAATTACCTGTACTTTTTACTCGTTACATTAAAAAAAGGCAAGAAGTAGAAAGTCGTTACTTTTATTTCATTTTTGCTTGTTTTCCTCCCAGCTGCTTATTGTAAAAAATAAATACTATCCATATAAATTGTGCCTCCTAGATGGAGTGAATTTAATTGTGGTTAAATCAGAAGTATAAATATATAAAATTCTGATACAGTATTAGTTTGTACACAAACAAATCATGTCACACTCCAGCAGGACATCAACATTAAAATAAAAGGACTGTACCTCAGAAGTATTTGTATTTCATGAATTTTATTATTGCATTTGACCCCTAGCCCTCAGATAGATTTTCATTTTAGAAAAAATTTGGGCAGCCTTGATATATATGTAGAAACTGAAACACTAGTGCATCCTAAATTCAAAATAAATTAATTATTTTAATACAATATAGTCATTTCTGCATTTTTGAGGAGGTCACCTCCTAATAAATGTCATTACAGAAAATCTAACTTCTCATTTTAAATCAATACTTTTACTTTTAATATTTAAGTACAAAAATATCAGATACTTTAGGACTTTTACTCAAAGTAATATTCCTAAAGGAGACTTTAACTTTTACCAAAGTAATTTTTTTGTAAGATACTTGTACTTTTACTCAAGTATCACTTTGGGGCACCTGAACAGTGTTGTATAAAGTACCACAAACTAACAGGTACATTGGTTTTTATGCAAATATTCAACATGGTGAAAACAAAGGATGCAAGGACTACCACAGTGGCTCTTCAAGTAATCCAATAGTAACTGTCAGAAAGTACTAACATCAGTAACAGAGATAGTTCAGATCTTTTGAAGTAGGATTCCRTGGAGAGGTTATGAAAAATTAATGTCTTACTTGTTCCAGATAGAGCTTTGAGTGGCCCGAGTTTGGACTGGATACTTCAACAGGTAAGATTTTTGTTTTTCTGAACCTTTTCATAGATTTGTTCTTTTAAAATTAATGTTGTAACACATGGAGGAACACGAGTGACTTCCATCCAGCCCATCAGTGAGGATCCCGCCCCCACACAATTTGTTTGTTTGTTTTTGGTAGGTAAACTATCTGTTCACAGAACTTCAAGGCAAACCTGTGTTTAGTCTGCTTAGATGACATAAAGAATTTTAATAGAAGTAGCTACTGCAACACGTTGCACAAAGCTAAATATGAGAAATTTACTGAAGTCGCAAATACATAAACAGCAGTGACTTTTTACCAGAACTACAGGAGTCTGAACTCAAGGTTTCATATCGTTGAACTTCAGCTCGCTAAAATTACTTTTTGTTTGCTTCAAATGTTTTTTATTCATATTTATTAAACAAGAGTATAACAGTTATACATGCATGTGAGCATGATGTTAAATTACTGCACTGTATGTTGGTTTAATAAACCCAGACCTGTATGTACAGTATGTATATTTATACACACAAACATTTATTTAAAATGGCCATTTTATTATGTTTTGGTAAGTGTGGTAGGGTCAACAAAAAATTGTGGTCCCTTCCCTGTTGTAACAGCTCCTTTAACGTTTGAGTTTAACTGTGCATCAAGTTTTTCTCCTCTGAAAAATATGCTGCAAAATAACTAACAAAGCAGCAGAAAATGCAAAGAGGAGTCTTTTTTCTGATCATTTTAACAAAATATCTGTCATTATTGCCAGATTTTCAAACCATATCAAATATAAAAGGGTCTTGCTTACAAATACAATAAGGTGAAACCAGATATAAGAAGACCAAAGGCACAGTGGGTGCCAGCAGCAGGGATGACACTTTTGATGAGTGTCTGTACGATGAAAAACTAAAGATTGACTCCTTTTGGTGTCACTTCTTGGCTTTGCAATAAGACGTTCTTTAATGCTCAAGAAGAAAGGCTAAACGGAACAGAAAGAGGGAAACAAAAAAGAGTCTAATATCTTCTGAATGTGCACTTGAAAACTAATAATCTCACTTTTCCCTCCTCATTTATTGTCAAAGCTTCGGATCTAGGTGTAAGTTTTCCAGTAGCATTTTGCTYGCAAAGGAACGGTGTGATTTGTCGCACTCATTAAAACATGTAAACTCAGGAAACTGCTGGATCTCCAYGCTAATTTACACAGCGGGGAGGTAGTTGTTTAAGAAAACGCTTTTCTCTTCCTTCTACATTTAGTTGGGATTCACTGTTGAGCAAAGTGCTTAAGCTGAAGAAACAAGTGGAGCTGTTTGGTAACGGGCAGCTCAGTCATGAGGAGTCTTTGTTTAATAATCTCTTCTTCCAGGTGGGTAAAAACTAAACAGCTGATCCTTGTGTATAATCATCTGGATGGTTTAGTACCTGGGTAGGGCACACGTCCTTTAGTGATGAGTTCGGTTAGCAGGATGCCGAAGCTCCAGACGTCTGACTTGATGGTAAAGCGTCCATAGAGCGCCGCTTCTGGAGCCGTCCACTTGATAGGGAACTTTGCTCCTGAAACCATGGAAACAGTAAAAATGTATTTATGACTAAAAATACAGACGTATTCACTAATAATAATGATAGGACTGTTGAACCCCGGATCTCCTCCTATACCTCTCGCACACACAGACACATTGTATATCTTGTCATGCTGACCTTGTCTGGCTGTGTACTCGTTGTCCTCGATGAGCCTAGCCAGGCCGAAGTCGGCAATCTTGCACACCAGGTTGTCTCCGACGAGGATGTTGGCCGCTCGCAGGTCACGGTGGATGTAGTTCATCCGCTCGATGTACGCCATCCCGGCGGCAATCTGACGACGAAAATACAAGTTTTCAGATCCGCAGTGAAAGTTTAGAAGAAGTGGCTTTCAGAGATGTGTCGGAGCTCACCTGCGCTGCCATGTCCACCAGCTGAGGCAGCTTCAGGTTCTGTCCCTCTCCGTCYTTTAAGAAGTCCAACAAACTTCCTGAAAACAACAGAAGATGGCTTTAAAATTAAACACATTTATTTATTGAAATAACACCAGAAAGTCCTTTTGGCAAAACTTTATAACTCAGTTTTTTTCTTTTTTTTCATTTCCAAATAAAAGTTTGTAACTATTAACTTTATTCTTCCATTATTTTGACACAGAGATAAAGGTTGAAATCCTTGGAAAAGGTGGGAATAGTGAGGGATGAGGGGGTGGGCTCAGCTTGGCTTGGAAGTAAGAAATGGGGGCATTTGTGAAAACAGGTAGGTAACCACTGATCTAAAACACTGAGTGTAGTTACATTTTCTCGTTTTTCTTAACATTTTATCCGATAATGTGGGTTTTTGTTATGAAAAATGTGCAATTGCCTGAGTTTGTGTGTGTGTTCCATTGTTTGTTTGTTAGTAAAATACCTGATAAACCTTTGGACAGACTTGAATGAATCTCAGAAAGTAATCGTTGGGTCACCACAGGGGCAGAACCAGTGGGGTGGAAAGTGTCACATCTGGTACCTGATTGGCCACCACAGGTGCCACCCCCAAATCATTGACAAGTGGATGGCATTCTTGTATTTTGTATTTGTGTTTAGATTTTGTTTTCTCTGATAYTATTGTACTGTATACTATGGCTGAATTATAGCCCTTTGTAAATTTGCACCAGGGTTAGTTGTTAGCTCAATTTGGGATTGGCATCGGCAATGGGCATGATCATTCTTACCTCCACAACTAATTTTATCTCAATAAATCTTAAAATGGCTGAATTATAGCCTTTTATACTTACGCTGTGGTGGCCATCTATAATTTTTGAGCATTTAGAATTTGGTAAAGATTTTTAGACATRCAAAGCTGAAAACAATGTCTGAATAATACGTATGTTGTAGCATTCGGCGTGTTTGTTGGATCACACAAAACTTCAGCTCAAAACTTCTTAAAACAGCTGAATTAACACCACTTTGAATTAGCTGTGGTATGGAGTTTATTTTGTTTCTTTTCTATTTAAACA